GACCCGGTCTAGCCTTAGAGCCTCACCCTCTCCTGCTCATCCCCTTATCCCCTGCTCCATGGCCATGCTGTATTACTTGTTAATTGGTCGTGCTCTTCTGTTCCACTGGTCTTGAACTATTCTACTCCCTTCAGCTGGAGCATCCTTCTCTGCCTCCCTGAGCTAGTTAATTCCTACTTTTCATTAACACCGAGCTCCAACATCATCCCCCTCCTGGGAATCCTGTGCCAATCCCTGCACCAGGACATGTCTGTCTGGTTTTCCCAGAGCACCCAGTGTCTCCTTCTACATTAGCAGTTAGTACTATGTACTATGTCTAAGTCTGTTTACTTGTTACTGTACCAAGAGCTGAGAGCAATTTAAAGGCAAGGCACTTAAAATTTGATTCATCTCTCTTTCCTAAGACAAACAAAGTGCCTAGTACTGAGTAAGCCCTCAAAAGATATTGGCTGAACTAAACAGGAGGAAGGGAGAGACCTCAAAGGGACAGATTTAGTGCTCTGAGTTACAGGGCCTGCTGATACTGTTGCTAGGAGCCAGCTCCTCCTCCAAGTAACAGCTGCATGCTCCTCCCCCACTTGCCAGACCCTTCTGCAGGTGGCTGAAGCAGACCAAATGAAGGGAGTATATTGCTACTGGTACTACCAGGAGGAAAAAACAAAGAAAGAAAGAACTTAACTAAAAACTAGGGGAAAATTTTGTCATAGTGCCAGCTCTCATAACCCACTCTTCCCTTGCCAGCACTCAATGTCTGCTGCTAAGGAGATGCCTCACTTATTCTAAACTCTTCATCCAGCAGAGGTTAATATCTGGCCCCTTCAACCTCACAGACATTAATCCTAATGAGGAGAAAAGGCAGATCTCCTTCAGTCTTTATTCATATGGTATTTACAGCCTACTCTACCTGCCAATCAGGAAGTAGACACCAAGGGCCCTAAAAAGAAATGACTTAATTTTAATGGTAGAAAGGCAAATTCTATGGAAGATAACATTAGAATAAATCAGCACATTATGAGCTCTGAGCAACGAAATAGGGTCTGCCCATATTCACTGCTCATAATCCTCAGTCCCAATAGTAACGTTCCACAAACTTTGGAGTAAAATAAACAAATTCAAGAATAATTGTATGGATGACCATTTCTGATGAAAACTAGGAAAGTGTGACTTCATCCAGCAGAGGGCACAAACAGCTTGGGACCACAGTAAGAATGCTGCTAACCCCTGCCCCAAATCCTGTCAGCTTGAGCTTCCAGGGATCATTTTGCATAAAGGCACAGTTATAACTATATTTTATCTTTAAATTACTCATCAAATGCTATTTCTCTTTCTAAATAATGAAAAAACTCAGTATTTCTTGAAGAGTAGAGCTATATCATTTGTCCAGTTGTTCAAAGCCTTTCTTTCTTCTACTGATATATAAGGAACTGAAGTTGGTTCAGGAAATTCTAGTGACCTTTGATTTCTTCTACTAAAATTTGTATATCCTGTATCCTCCCAATAAGGTGCTTCCTTGGAGTTTGTATTGTACTATAAAATGATCTAAGAATTAAATTAATGTTTGAACCTTCTGAGGTTAAGAACCACAAAGGCAAGATGATTCTACACAAAGCTCCTGTATTCAACTTTGCTTGCCCCTGGCTATTATACATGGTGATCTATTACAAACTGACTTCTCAGGAGACAGGGCCTATTCTATAGGATGGCAAAAATCTGAAATTGGAAAATTAAAATAGTGGATATCTGCAAGAATAACAATGTCCAATGTAGATCAGTTGCAGCTATATTAGGTCAACAGAGTGACAGGTGTACTTGCTTTTTTTTTGGTGGGGGGGAACTAGGGATTGAACCCAGGGGTGCTTTACCACTGAGCTATATCTCTAGCCCTTTTTATTTTGAGACAGGTTCTCCCAAGTTGCTGAGGCTGCCCTTGAACTTGTGATCCTCCTACCTTAGCTTCCTGATTACATGTAACACCATGTCTGGCCAGAGTGACAGGCATTCTAATAGGTCTCCCAGTCCTCTCCAGAGAAGCAACTTTGTCACACACAATATCTTACAAAACAATACAGTAGTGCATATTCTAGGGTCTGATCATCACAAATGAGCCAAAGTTGCCATATCATTTCTTCCAATAAATGAAATATGACCTTAGTAATCAAAATTCAGCTCTCTGTAGCTTTTTTGAATAGGAAAAAATAAATAACTAAACATGACAGTTTTTCAGACCCTGAAACCAGTTTACCAAGCAAAAAGCATAATTATCCCAGTCAGGTGAACTGAGGAAGATGAAGAGGATAATAGGGTTAAAATTGTGAGATGAGTCTGCGATTATCTAATTTGAAGAAGAAAAGTAAGAAAGCACCTAACTTAAGTAGGTAAAATAATTAACAACCCCTTAAGAATAACATGTTAAACTGGGTGTGCTGGTGTATACCTATAATCCCAGCAACTCAGGAGGCTGAGGCGGGAGGATCTCAAGTTCAAGGCCAGACTCAGCAACTTAGTGAGACCCTGTCTCAAAAAATAAAAGGGCTGGGAATGTGGCTCAGTGGTAAGTGCCCCTGGCTTCAATCCCTGGTACAAAAAAAAAAAAAGAATAACAGGTTATAATAATGACTGATATTAGTCAATACTGGATGCAAAGGCTACCATTTATTAAGTGCTTACCAGTTGTCAAGCACTATAATAAGTACTAAATAAAATGACCTCATGTAATTACTTATCCTAAGGGGTGGTAACTTATTCAAGGAACAGAGCTAGTAATTGGCAGAGCCCAAATTCAATGTCAAGGCTGTACTACTCCAAAGTTCAAGCTCTTTCCATTGCGTGATGCTCTCTCTCAAGAATAAAAACATGACATCAATCTTAAGGATTAAAAAAATGTTAAAAATTAATCTCACCCACCTGTTTGATCCCTCTGGTACTCACTGGCTTAGGCTGAGTGGTAGGGAAAAGAGAGGAGATTAAAAACAAAAACCAAAAAACAGGGGAATTCTGAGGAGAGAATTGGTGGGAACAGAGCCAGAATAGAGTTACAATGAGGCCTCCCTTCTTTTTTGCCAGTGTAGAAATTAGCCACATCCCACAGCAGGAAAACATCTGTCAACCCATGACCTTCATTTCAAGACTGCAGACACGTTTGGCTTATTAGAATTTTTAAGAAAGTTTCTAACATTAAAAACTCGAAAAGAAAGCAGTTCTAAACTACCTATAACCAACAAACAATCCCCCTCTCATTGTTCTGTGTCACCGCCATTATTCAATTTTCAGTTCTCCCCACTACTTCTTTTTTCCTGTAGCTTGCACTTCCCTACCTGCCTTCTCACCCATACCCGTTCCTCCCACAAACTCTGAAGGCTCACATCGTACCCAGCTCTCTACTTTCCCTCAAGGGCAAACTAATCTCTTCCACATCTTGATACTCTTACCAACTCTACAGCTTCTCACCCCAAATCCTAAACCTTCCCCTTCACACACTCACAGCTCATCTGCCCCCTCTTCAGAGATCATACCCTTTCAATCCTTCCGCACCCCTTCCAAAAACGTGGCTCCAAAACCCAATCCCACCTCCACCTGCTTCCCTTCCTGTCTCTACGCCATTCCACCCACATCCCTTGGGTCTTTCAGCATCCATCCTTCCCTTCCTCTCCCTCGGGCTTTCCCCTCCTCGGACCCCAACCTCTCCATTCCTCTCCAGTCTTGTGTCCTCAACCCTCAAAATCCCATTCCTTCACGCTTCAACATCCCCAACTTCACAATCCGCAGCCCCAACTTCTTCTTTCTTCCCTGCTTCCAAGACCCCACCCCTTCCCCCATTCCACTCCTAGCTCCCTTCTTCCGTGCACCCCCCCCAAACCACCTTCCCCTTCGCCTCGCCCGGTACCGCAGTCCTTCGCCCCCCTCTCAATTCCCACGCATGCCTCTCTCCCACTCCTCCCAAGCCAATGCTGCTTCCCCTCGCACCCCGACCCCGAGTCTCACACGCCCCCACAGCTCTCCCCGGCTCCCCGCCCCCACCTTCAAACCCACCTCCCACACCCCTACATCCTCATCCTCCCACCCTCCCTCGCCCTCCCCTCCCCCACCCGCCCCTCCCTCACACCCTGCCCCCGCCCCCACACGCAGCCCGGGGTTCGGCCAGCGGCCAAGCCCGCGGCCGCCACCTACCTGTGCCCCTGCCTGGGGCAGCGAGCGGCAGCACCTCGGCGGCGGCTCCTTCCTTCTGTGGCGCGGCTGACGAGGAAGGCGGCTCGACACACTGGGCACAACGCTGTTGAGGGTGGGAAACAGAGAGGGTGGCAGGAGGGAGGGGGCTGGGGGCGACCTGGCGCCGTGGGACCGCGGGACCGGCGGGGCGGGGGGAGGGCTGGGCCATGGAGGCGCGCGTGCGCGGGGCCGGCATAAGGGGCGGGGCTGGGCCTAGGGCGGGGCCGGCCTGGAGGCGGGGCTGGGCCTGGAAGCCGGGCTAGCGACCTGAGGGCTCGGGGCTAGGAGCCGGCAGGGCTGGGCACTGCGCGTGCGTGCCCGCGGGAGGGGGGGTCTCCTGGGTCCTGCGGTCCTGCGGGCCAGCTGGGTTGAGCCGAGCTGAGCTGGGGGAGGTTAGGCCTGGGAAAAGGCGCTCGGGCGGGATTACGCAGCTGGGCCGGCGAGTTTGCAGGGAAGCTGACGGGTGGGGCGCTTTGAGTAGTGCTGTGCGCTTGGCCGGGACTCCGCCGGGGCGCCTCGAGCTGGGCGCGGGGGAAATCCCAAGCGGGACCATCAGTACGCCCGGATCTACCTTGAGGCCCAGGCGAGCGAGTCAGCGGGGTGGAGTAGGCCGGCACCGGGGGAGGTGGGAGTCTGGCGGGCTAGGCTGACGGAAGGGATGCTGGCGCGAAGGGAGCGAGCGCGGGGGGCTGGTGCGGAGTCGCGGCGTGGAAGGTGCGGGGGTGTGGCGGGCGGCGCTGAGAGGTAGCCTCATGAAGGCGTCTGACGCCGGCCAGTGCTCCCTGCTTGGCCCGGGGAGGACCTTTTTGAGGTTTGAAGTAGTGCTTTGGCTCCCAAAGGAAAAACTGATTGCAAATCGAAGTTAATGAATCTGCCTAAACTTAAGATGTAGCTGCAACATAACCCATGTAGTTATAAATTGTATTTACTATCAAGGCGGGCTCAGTTAATGTATTTTATGTCACCTGGGACGGGACTGAGTCAAAGGCTTGGGATGGATGTGAGCTTTGTGTCCAGGGCTGATTCCCGCCTTTCTAGCAACAGGTCCTGGCCTCTGGGGAGACTGGATGCACGGAAAGGGCGTGTGAACTCCAGGTGAAACCAGTGGCCAAGGCTTAGGGTAAGGCAGGGAAGTCCAAGGTTAGCGATTATAAAAATGGGAAGGATGGCATCCTGGAGTGCACCTCCCACATTCGGTGAACTGAGGCTCTGAAGAAATACGTGTTTATTTAGAGCAAGGCATTTCAGTATGGAGGATTAGACTATATCTTAAACCTGCACCTTGGAGTTGGGAGAACAGCATATTGTTGTTCCTGGAGGGTTTTTTGGAATTGGTTTGCCTTTCTCCTGAATTGTAACAAAAGAAACTTAAAGGGAACTCAGCCCCCTCCCTTTCTTTCTTGTTATTTAAGCAATTTTTCCAAAACAGGGAATCAAAGGATATTGTTTGCTTCCTTCAGACAACTTAGATAATTAAGAATGTGCAGTAAGCAAAGAACTGAACATTTGAAGAATACACCCTATCCCATTTATCTACTTAACTTAATATACATGTGAATTCCAGATGCATTTTCCTAAAATGTAACTCTTTTCTAATTCATAAATATAATTCCTTGTACATTTTGGTCTACATAAGAAATGAAGAATACACGCTTTACTATGTTCATTTGTTTGAACACATTCAAATGAATTCAGATAGTAAAAGTTGAATTAAGTTTTTGTTGTTTTTTTTTTTTTTAAGGAAACAAGCCCACCACAAGGGTAATCCCAGAGAGTCAGGAGGCTGAGGCAGGAGGATGACAGGATCAAGGTCAGCTTCCACAATTTAGCATGACCATCTCAAAAAAGAAAGGGCTGAGGAGCTCAGTGGTAAAATGTCCTGTGTTTAATCTCCAGTACCAAAACAAAAACAAAAACAAACTCTTCTCACATATAGAATAATTATTCTGTGTGGGTCACACTATATTAGAACATGGCATTGTATTATTAATTGCATATTTGTCCATCTTCCTTGACTCAGCTTGAAGACAGACAAGTCTCAGTAACTTAGGTTGTATGCATCTTTTCATTACTAGCATGGTGCCTGGCCCTTGGTTCAAAAGGGCCTTAGTTTGTATTCAGAAATTTTGACAGAATATAGTATTTCCTTACCTTTTTTTTTTTGACGATGCTGAGGATCAAACCAAGGGCTCATGTGCTAGGCAAAGGCTCTACCACTGAGCTGCATCCTCAAGCCCTATTTAATAATTGAAGATAGCATTTCTTTACCTTTAGAGATAGATATAGTACACTGTTATCGTCATTGACTTTATGATCAATGAAGCCAATAAGTTTTATACATCTTAATCAAGGATCAGCAAACTTTTTTGTAAAGGGCCAAACATTATTTTAGTCTTTATTGGTCTTATAGTCTGTCACAGGTATTCAGCTGTACTATAGCACAAAAGTAATCATAGACAATATGTAAAAGAATGAGAACTGCCATGTTCTAATAAAACTATTCATGATCATAAAAAAAAATAGGTGGCAAGCTAGATTTGACTTGAAAGCAGTAGTTTGCTAACCCCTGATCTTGTAGGACTAATTTTTTAAGACTTAAGTATAAGCCTTTATGATTATCTTTAACTTATAATTCATTGCACACATCTTTCTAGCTTGCTCTTGTGTCTTTATTCTGTGTGTGTGTGTGTGTGTGTGTGTGTATGTGTATGCATGCACAGACGTGCTCTAGGGATTTAACCCAGGGACTCACACATTACTTACATATGCTCTACTACTGAGATACACCCCCCAAACCCTGATCACTTCTCTTTGAGGGTCAGTTGCATCATCTGCTATATTAGCTGATACCCCATCTTTGTTATTGTCTGTAGAATTGATAAGCATATTTTTGTACCCTTAGTTAAAATTCTTAAAAGGATAAAAGTCTTCCACAAGTTTATTTTGTTCTAATAGTCATTATTATTTTGAGTATAGCCACTCAAAAAGTTATAAGAAACTACCTAAAGTGCAGCCTGTCCTACAATCCATATTTCCCACCCCAGTCTGGTCTGTGTGTGTGTCTGTGTATGGGTATACATATATTCATATCTATTTATACATATATGTGTATTTTTTTTTTTTGTACAAGAGATTTGACCCAGGGGCACTCAACCACTGAGTCACATCCCCATCCATTTTTATTTTTTATTTGGAATCTGGGTCTCACCAAGTTGCTTAGGGCCTTGCTAAATTGCTGAGTCTGGTTTTGAACTGGAGATCCTCCTGCCTCAGTCTCCTGAGTCACTGGGATTACAGCCATGTGCCACTGCACCTGGCTTAGAATCTCTTTTTTTCTTGACCAGTGTGACCCAGCTTTTATTACTATTACTACTAGATTTTAAAACTAAGATAAAAAGTGGGCTTTACTTTCTATTATAATAAAATAAAAACTAAGAAGAACTAGATCTCTTATGAAATACAAATTATCAATAATTAATACAACTGACTAAAATTGACTCAAGGTATAGAAAACCTGAAGAGATCTATTGAATTTGAATTGTCAAAAATTACGCTATGAACACTTCACCAGGTATACACGATCAGATAATCCCTACCTTATATAAATTGTTCAACAATTAGAAAAAGAAAGCAAAGCTCTCTGATTGCTTTGGAATACAATCTTTATTCCAAAGACATATGAACTAAAGGAAAAATTATAGGCCAATATAATCTTAACAATATATTTGCAAAAATTCGAAATATAATACTAGGAAACTGAATTTAACCGTAAAAATAATAATGCACCATAGACACATAGATAGAATTTGTGCCAGGAACTGGGGATGCTATAACGATAGAAATTTCCTTAATTTATATTAACGATCTGTAGAAAAATCTATTATTATTTTCATAGATATAGAGGAGTATTTGGTAAAACTCAATTTTTATTCATATTTAATAGAAAAAAAACAACAAACAAGGAGAAGGAAATTTCTGTTTACTTAATAATATCTAACAAAAACCACAGTGTACATGACACATGACACATTTCATGGTGAAATGTTAAGAAATATTCCTTATAGAGCTGAGGACATAGCTCAGTGGGAAAGTGCTTACCTACCATGTATAAGGCCTGGGTTCCATCCATAACACTGCAAAGAAAAAAAAAAAAAAAAGAAATACCCATTGTATAGTCAAGAATAAATGTTATTTTTAAAAAGATCCCACTTATGTAGCTGGGCACAGTGGTACATGCCTATAATCTCAGTGGCTCGGGTGGCTGAGGCAGGAGGATCGTGAGCCAATCTCAGCAACTTAGCGAGGTACTAAGCAATTCAGTGAGACCCTGTCTCAAAATGAAAATACAAAAAAGAGCTGGGATGTAACTCAATAGTTATGTTCCCCTGAGTTCAATCCCCGGTACCAAAAAAGAAAAAAAAAATCCCACTTCAATAGAAGGAGAAACTATAAGGTGTCTAAGAGTATATCTAACAAAAGAGACATATATTTGGAGAAGGATTTTTTTTAAAGTTTTTTAATAATGAAGAGATATGCTAGATTCAGGGCACTGATTATCATTAACATGTCTCTTCTCCCCAAATTATAATCTAATTGAATTGCTATCTAATCTCAAAATTTTCATGTAGTTTAAGAAAATTGTTTCTAATAAGCTAGGTACAAAGTATAGGACCAAACCAGTTTTGATAATTAAGTAGAGGAATTTACCATGTCAAATATTAAATTTGATAATTTTTGCTTTCAGTCTGCATCTTTTTTAATATTTATTTTTCAGTTGTAGTTGGACACAATACCTTTATTTTATTTATTTATTTTTATGTGGTACTGAGGATTGAACCCAGGGCCTCGCACATGCTAGGCAAGTGTTCTACACTGAGCCACAACCCCAGCCCTCAGTCTACATCTTTATATTCATAATGTGTAACTTAAGCCGGACATGGTGGTACATGTCTATAGTCCCAGTGACTCAGAAGGCTGAGGCAGAGGACCACAAGTTGCCCAGAAGCCAGCCTAGGCAACTTAATGAGACCATATCTCAAAATAAAAGGGACTGGGGATGTATATTAGTGGTAGGGTGCTCCTGTGCTCAAAAACAGTTTTTTTTTTTTTTTTTTAAATACAATAAAATAGTCTAATGCTTAGTTTATTAATATTTAGCAGGAAAACTGGTATATTTGTACTTAATTGAGTTCTGTGTTCTTGATATGTTTTTTTTCCTGTTTGCCCTGTTTGTTCTTTTGTTCCTTTCTACTTTTTTCCAGATTAATTATTTTTATGGTATTCCAGATTTTCTCTTCTGTTGACATTTATCTTAGTCCATTTTATATTTCTGTAACAAAATACATGAAGCTGAGTAATTTGTAAAGAAAAATTTTATTTAGTTCACAGTTCTGGAGGACCAAGAGCATGCACTGGCTTCTGCCAGGCTCTGGTGATGGCATCCTTGAGGATAGCATATGGGAGAAAGAGAGGTCACATGGCAAGAAAGGAAGCAAGGATGGAGGACATGACTATTCTTGTATAATAACTTGAGTTCCCAGAAAACTAATTGACTCCTATGAGACCTAACCCACTCTACTACAAGACCAGCATTAATTCCTTTAGAAAGGCAGCTATGACCCAATCACCTCCCAATAGGCTCCATCTCTTAAAGGTCCCACTTTTTTATTTTTATTTTTTTAGCACCGGCATCAGACCCAGGGATGCTCTACCACTGAGTTACATCGCTAGTCCTTTTTAAAATTTTGAGACAGGGTTTCACTTAAGTTTCTCAGGTTGGCCATGAATTTGTAATCCTTCTGTCTTAACCTTCTGAGTTGCTGGGTAAAATTTTAGGCTTGTGCCACAGCATATGGACCACCCACCCCAACCCCCAACCCCTGCCCCTTTCAGAGTTGTGTTGATATGTTGTTAAGAACCAAGCTTCCAGCACATGAATCTTTGAGGGAGAAACCATATCCAAACCATAATGTTTCTCTTATATTACTTTTTTTTTTTTTTTTAGCAGTTACTTTATTCTAGTTCCAGGATTATAACATGCATCTTTAACATCCTAGTCTACTTTGAGTTAATATTCTATGACATCATGTTCAGTGTAAGAACTTTACTAAAATACTCTATAAGTACTTTCACTTACCTTCCCCCTTGCCTTTACTTCTGCATCTGTTAAATCCCCACCATTCATTGATAATATTTTTAATTTTTCTTCTTTAGACCCAGACAGTAGTCCAGTTCTTTTTTCTGGTACTGGACATCATTAAACCCAGGGCCTTGCACATGCTAGGCAAGCACCCTACCACTGAGCTATACTGCCAGCCCCAGTACCTTGTAAATATATTTTAAGAATATACACTTATATTAACGATATTTTTTCCATTTATAATGCTCTTTATTCCTTCCCTTGGACCCAGAATGTAACTATGGAATCATTTACCTTTAGCCTAATGAACTTCTTTAACTTTTCTAATAGTATAGGTCTACTGATATATACTCAGCTTTTATCTAAAAATACCTTTAATTTGCCTTTAGAACATTTTTTGCTAGATATGGAATTCTGTAGGGTTTTTTTCAGCACTTCAAAAATGCCATTCCATTTTCTTTTGGTCTGCATTATTTCTGATAAAAATTGGAAAAAAAAAATTCCCCTTTGAGGATTGAACCCAGGGCCTCACACATGCTAGGCAAGTGCTCTACAACTGAGCTACAACCCCAGCCCTTTAATTTTAATTCTTTTTTTAAATATTGTTTTAGTTGTAGATGGACACACAATATCTTTGCTTATTAATATATATATATATTTTTATGTAATGCTGAGGATCTAACCAGTGCCTCTCACAGGCCAGGCAAGTGCTCTGCCACTGAGCTACTGCCTCAACCCCTAATTTTAATTCTTAACTGTTGTTCTACAAAATCTGACTGCTTTTTTTTTTTTTTTAAAGACAGACATAATATCTTTATTTTATTTTGTTTATTTTTATGTGGTGCTGAGGATTGAACCCAGTGCCTCAAATGGATGAGGCAAGTGCTCTGCCACTGAGCTATAAGCCCAGCCCCAAATCTGACTGCTTTTAATTTCTTCTCTTTAACTTTCAGCAATTAACTATGTTTTGCCTAGATGGAATCTTTGTATTTATTTAGCGTGGGTTCCTGAGTCTTAGATTTGTGGATTTATGTCTTTTATAGATTTAGAGAAATTTTCAAGCATATCTCTTCATCATTTTCTTCTACACCATTCACTTTCTCTTCTCTTGGGAATTCAATTACGTGTATTTCAGTCTGCATCTGTAAAGGGCCAAACAGTATCTTTAATAGTTTAATACTGTTTAAAGGATATCTAATATTCTATTCTGTTATCTTAATTTTTAAAATTTTTTTTGTTTTATTTTGGATCATTTCTATTGACTTTTTTTTTTTTTTGGTTGTACAGAGGAGTGGTAAGAGAGGTGTATATATGTTAATATGTGTAATATGTAAATATGTTAAATACCAGCTTTAATTATTGGAGGCAGAGCTGGTCGTAAGAGGGTCTCAACAGGATACTAGGCAAGTGCTCTATTAGAGAGCAAGGCCTACAGCCCCTGAATCCATCTTTAGGTTCACTTATCCCATTCTTACGCTAGATCCTATCAACTATTTCACCCAACTAATGAATTTTTTATTTTAGATGCTGTATTTTATTTTATTTTTTTGAGAGAGAGAGAGAACTAAAAAAAATAGTTTTATTTTTAAATAAACTATTAAATATTTTTAATATTTATTTTTTTTAGTTTTCCGCAGACACAACATCTTTATTGCCGCGCGAATGCCAGGCAAGCGTGCTACCGCTTGAGCCACATCCCCAGCCCAAGATGCTGTATTTTAAGCTCTAGGTTTTCCATTTTTGAGTCTCCATTTCCTGCTAAGGTGCTGCTTCTGTTCACTCATTGGTTTATCTTCTCTCTAAATTCTCTAACAGATATATAATATTTTACTTTATGTTTGCTAATGAAATTTAGCACCTGGGTCATTCCAGCACTTAGTTACCTATAGATTTGCTTCTAATAGCTTTGTTTAATATTGCATGTTAAATAATAGTAGAGACTGAAATAGATAATGTTTGGGGATTGTTTTCCCTCCACTCCTTTTCTTCCCCAGAGAGAAAACCCAATCTTTCTTTAATCTAGTAGTGAGGATGAGGGGTAAACCAATTCAGTCTAGCTATAAATTATTTTGGGTGTAGATCAAGTTGCAGATTTAAATATTTTTAGTTGACTCTGATTTCATACAACTGAGAATGAGATTAATTCCCTCCTTCTTGAGGGCTTTGGTGTCTAAGTACCTGAGACCAAAGAAACCTGTCTTTGCTTTTCAGCTCATACCCAGTTTCCTGTGAAGCTCCACAAGGGCTAGTTTCTTTGATCTCATACAGAGTTGTACCGAGTAGGGGCTGGGTTGCCTCTGTAGCTATTCTCTGTTATATATGACATTGATACATCTCACAAACAATAATGAGGGGAGAGGGGAAAGCCAGTATTAACTGTGTGATTTCATGTACATATATTTTGGGCAAAGTTAATCTTTAGTATTGGTTACTTATGGGAAGGCAAGAGGGTTGGTAATTCTTAAGGGGTGGGTGAGAAAGGCTTCTCGAGTGTTCTATTTCTTTATCTAGTTGCGTTTATTCATGAAATTTTATTGAGCTATATGTTTATGATGTGTGCACTTTTCTGTATGTATGGTATAGTTCAATGACAAAAAATTAAGCAGGGTAGTAAACTCTTATACCAAAACCAAGCCAATCAAACCAACAAACAAAAAACAATACATGGCCAGGCGCAGTGGCGCACGCCTGTAATCATAGCGGCTCAGGAGGCTGAGGCAGGAGGATCGTGAGTTCAAAGACAGCCTCAGCAAAAAGCGAGGCACTAAATAACTCAGTGAGACCCTGTCTCTAAATAAAAATACAAAATGTGGCTCAGTGGTCGAGTGCTTGAGTTCAATCCCTGGTACCCCACCCCCCCAAAAAAGAAAAAAGTATATGGATAAACAGTTATAAAATCTGTTTTTATCTTCCAGGTTTTTTTTTTTAATTTCAGAAGTATAACTATCAACAACTTCCACTAATTTATGTCTCCCTGACTTGTTAACAGTTTCCATGTAATTATTGGAGCAGAGAAATGATGTCAGTTTAGGTAGTCAAAAGACATTTTGTAGAACAGAGTTGAGGTCAGAAGTTTACTTATATAAACAAACACTGGAGTCCCTCCCACTTGTTGAATTGCTTGGTGGTTAAACAGTATGCTAGGCAACAGGCTTTCCTTCTCTTTCCTTTTTTAGATGAAGCTAAGAGAATCATGGAGTTGCTTTTTTATTTTTTATTTTATTATTTGCAGGTTTAACACTTGAAGATGAGACAATTTGATCTTTGTTTGAGCTCTGAAGGATCTGAAGTGGTTTTAGCTACATCAAGTGATGAAAAACACCCACCTGAAAATATCATTGATGGGTAAGAGTTACTATACTGTCTCACTTGAAGTCTTTATATTGGGCTAGTGAACCCCTGTGGTACTGGAACTATGTACAATTAGTGCTGTTAAATATAGTTTAATAAGTGTTTGATAAACCAGATTTCCTGGTAGTATCCACCTTTGTCATCATTCCTGCAACTAATTCATATGTAGATATTTAAGTTTTTGATCCTTTTCTTTATAATTCCTAAATGGACCTTTTTATACAAAGAGGTGTTTAAATTTATTATTTTTACTATTATTATTTTTCATTATTTTTCTAGTGCCAGGGATGGAACCCAGGGCATTGTGCATGGTAGGCAAGTGCTCTGCCACTGAGCTACACCCCCAACAATAGGACTTTTTTATAATTTTGTTTACCAAGGCAAACAACAACTTCATTTTATGAATGTGTAAATTTTTATGTCTAGTTTTGTTTGTTTTTATTCCAGATTTTTCTTGGAAATATAAATGTAAACATAGCTTCCTATCTGCTCCCTATTTCCTTACTGGCCCAAGTGACATCTTTGCTGAAATGAATGTTTCACTTTATGCTATTTATTGCTCCTGCATTGTTTGTTTCTCAGCTTCTTGATATCATTCCAGTTTCCACTCTTTAACAGGTCTAGAATCATTCTCCGTAGAGATAAATACTATTCTCAGAGTCTTAATTCCAAGAAATAAAATGGGAGAACTCCTTTTTTAATAGTTCTACTTATTTCCTTACTGTCTTGAGTTCTCTTCCTTGGTTTGTGTATAATCACCAGAGTTTAACTCACAGAATCATGTAATTTTAGAGCTGGAAGAACTTATGAGTTCATCTTGTCTAAGCCCTTCATTTAAACTTGTGGTAAGAGAGGTGTAAATATGTTAAATACCAGCTTTAATTATTGGAGGCAGAGCTGGTTGTAAGATAGAGATGTTGGATTCTTTGTGTTCTATTATGAAGACCACATGTCTAGACAAAATGCTAGCAAATTGACCTCTTCTTTCAACTTTAGTTGCCATCTCCTTTCTGCTCCTTTCCCCTCAGGTAGGATCAGTTTATCTCTTTGTGGACTCTAATAGCATTTGGTATATACCTCTAGTATCTTTCTTATTCCTTTTTGTGTAATTGTTTATTTTTAATGTTTTTCTCCTCTCTCAACTGTGAATTCCTAGGAATCAAAATCTATATCTTGTTCATCTTTTATTCCATAGAGCCTTAAAAGTTTAACAGAGGGGCTGGGGATGTGGCTCAAGTGGTAGCGCACTCGCCTGGCATGCGCGGGGCACTGGGTTTGGTCCTCAGCACCACATATAAATAAAATAAAGATGTTGTGTTCGCTGAGAACTAAAAAATAAATATTTAAAAAAAAAAAAAAAAAAAAACGTTTAACAGAGTTAGAACATCAAATATTAGTTAAACTTGGCTAATTTTTTTTTTTAAATACTAGGAATTGAACCCAAGGGGCTTTCAACTGTGTTACATCACCAATCCTTTTTATTTTTTGAGACAGGGCCTCACTAATTTGCTGAGGCTGGCCTTGAACTTGTGATCCTCCTGCCTTAGCCTCCCTAGTACCTGAAGTTACAGGCATGCACCACTGCTCTCAGCTTGGCTAATATTGAAAAGTATTAGAGTGTATATTTATACACACATATACATAAACCTACATACATGTATATGCATATGTTATATGTTTGTATAAGACTTTATAATTTCATATACTATGTTATTCAATTGGGAAATAAGAAACCCAAAGAAGTATTTTCAACCCTACTGTAAAGATGAGAAAACAAATGATCACATGTAAAATGACTTGCTTAAAATCATACAGAGAAGCAGATGGCAAAATCAACTAACACTCATATTTTCTAACTGCTAGTTAAGGGCTCTTTGTCCTATACTATAACAAATCAAATCAACATTGAATCAAAAAGTTAATATCTGCCTTTGCCTGTGTCTCTTAGTTCATGTCAGTTTTTTACTTTCTGAAAGTGAAGTAATATTTCTTATCCCACTCTTAACTTGGAGTAGAAAAATTAGCATGGGAACTGTTATAAGAATACATAGAACTGATCCAGGCATGGTGGCACATGCCTGTAATCCCAGCAGCTCCGTAGGTTGAGGCAGGAGGATTGCAAGTTCAAAGCCAGCTTCAGCAAAAGTGAGGTGCTAAGCAACTCAGTAAGACCCTGTCTCTAAATAAAATACACAATAGGGTTGGGATGTGGGTCAGTGGTTGAGGGCCTCTGAGTTCAATCCTCAATACCCGCCCCCCCAAAAAAGAATATACAGAACTGTAGAGATTTGCCTTAATGTTGTTTGCTAGGAATAGAGATCTTTCCAGAAACATTCCTTATCTCTGATTGGAGAGAGATCATTTTTCTAAGGCAAGATCAGTTTACCTTCTACCCTTTTGATGACTTTTCTCTCAAGGTAATATGTTTATGGATTATTAGGATCAGCTGGGCATGATGGCGCACGCTTGTAATCCCAGCAGCTCGGGAGGCTGAGACAGGAGGATCAAGAGTCTAAAGCTAGCCTCTGCAATAGCTAGATGCCGAGCAACTCAGTGATACCCCATCTCTAAATAAAATACAGAATAGGGTTGGGGATGATGTGGCTCAGTGGTTGAGTGCCCGCAATTCAATCCCCGGTACCAAAAGAAAAAAAGATTATTAGGGTTAGCTATATTATGTAGCAGATAATATTTTAGGATCTGTCAAGTTTATATTAAGGAATGTCTAAGGACCTAATTTTTTTTAGATTAGACAAAAACTGTTAGTACAGAATAACATGGAATATAGGTAGTTACTGTCCTGCAGACTGAACGGAGTATGTCATTGACTGTAATTCATATGCAATTCTAGCACATATAATTAGACTTTATATATTAGATGTTAAAAAATTTCTGTTCACAAATTGATATACCTAAATGCAAGTAATCATAGAATTATTTAGGGAAAACATACTATAAATTTACCCCTATTCAACAGTGAAGAATGTTTATGGCCCTGCTCCAAACTTTCAGTTTCTTCAAAAATAAGAGTTAAAGAAAATGATTATGTTTCTATTTCCCATTGACCCTACCTTTGTCCTTTATATTTAAAATGTCAGTGAAAAAGTAGAAAAAATTCTACCCTAGAAAAAAGAAAAAAATTAGGAGAACTGATTCACTTTACATAGTGTTGGAATATACTAGATTTAGAATTAAAATTCTTGTCGAATTGAACTGCATATTTTACCTTAGACAAAGGTTATATGTAATGTTTTAAGCCCAGTTGTGCTAGGTCAGTGAGATAAGATCAGAGAGACCAAGGAATATACCTGGAGGTGGGACATGAGATATAAAGTTCATTGAAAAATGCTTACAGGGGCTGGGGATGTGGCTCAAGCTGTAGCGCGCTCACCTGGCATGCGTGCGGCCCGGGGTTCAATCCTCAGCACCACATACAAACAAAAGATGTTGTGTCCCCGATAACTAAAAAATAATAAATATTAAAATTCTCTCTCTCTCTCACTCTCTCTCTCTTAAAAAAAAAAAATGCTTACAGGGCTCTCTCTCTTCCCCCTCTCCTCTCTCCCCCTCTCCCCCCCCCTCCCCCCCCTCTCCCCCCCTCCCTCCCTCCCTCCCTCCCTCCCTCTCTCTCTCTCCCTCCCTCCCTCCCTCCCTGTCTCCCTCTCTCCCTCTCCACCCCCTTCTCTTCTGCGACTGGCCTCTACGACTGACCTCTTCGTCCTGCTAATAAAATCTCAGACAGGTAAACGATTGTTTCCGCGGAGCTTTTCCGTGGTTCCTACAGATATGGGCTAGAGAAGCCATAGAATGTTGTGAGCAGAGCTTAATGGGCAATTCTGGTGGGAGCTCAGAAGACCAGAATGCTGTTAGAAATGTGGCCAATAAAGACTGTACTCATGAGTTTTCAGAGGGGAATGGGGACTCTATTGGGAATCAGACTAGAGAATATTCATGTTACATTCCAGCAAAGAAGTTGTCTACATTTTGCGCATGCCCTGACACCTTCTGTGAAGGTGAATTTAAAGGTAATGGACTAATAATCTGGTGGAAGAAATTTCAAGGAAGCATAGCATTCAGGCCTGGGTGGCCTGGGTGTTGCTGGCAGATTTTAGCTAGGTTTACTGTGAAAATTGGAAGCAGAGAGATTTGGAAAACTTTGTTGGTCAAAGAAGCGCAGGTAAAATTGGGGCCAAGGAATTTACTGTAAAGATGGTCATCAATAAAGAGAAGTTAAGTACTTTGCTGAGACAAAGGAAAGATACCCTGAGGGCATCTCAGGAGTCTTCAAAACCACACCCATTGCAGGCTCAAGGGTGTAGAAGTGAAAACTTGTTTGAGAGACTTACATAGGGTTGCCTAGAAAGAAGTTTCCCCGGGATTCATTTCACTGTGTTTGATTGTCCAGGCATTCAGAGGTCACAGCAGTAATGATCTAAGGGAATGGACTAAGGGGGCCAGGCTACAGCTTGAGCTGACTTCAGACCTCAGCATCATTCACATGGTGCTAATTCTGCATGGATGCAGGACACTGGAATTAAGGGATACCGGAAGTTTACACTGAAATTTCAGAGAAAGGCCTGGAAGGCCAGGGAAAGTGCAGCAGGTCAGAATCCCTGCAGGCAGCCCCTGAAATATCAATGCACGAGGCTCTGAGAAGGAAGCCAAAGATGCACTGCAGACACTCTGGATTAAGAGATGCCAACAACATGGAACATCTGCTGGGGAAAGAGGCTAGCTGTGGACAGAGCCAGCTTAAGAGAAAGGCCATTTGGACTGCAACTGGCAAGGCCATAGGGGTGGAGTTGCACAAGCCCTTTGAAGATCATATTTTGCCGTTATGTGCACTGAATACAGAACATAGAGCTACAGGACTTGTTTTCCTAGCTGGATTTTGGTCTTGTGTTGGGCCCATCACTTTTTTCTATGCCCCCATTTCTTCCTTTTGGAATGGGAATGCTTACTGTGTGACAATATATATTAGATATATGCAACTT